GAATTCAATATGTTGTGATACATTTAAGGTCAAAGCGATGAATCTCCAATTATTCAGAGGAGACATGGAGACTGTTGACTTCATTAATTGCGTGCTTGAAAACGTATACTGTGTTTGCATTGTGTCTAAAAAGTTACAAAGACACGATTACATTATGGGATCTATAATTATTCTAACTTTTGCTGGTATCATTGAAGAGGTGGGAATCTGCCAATAAATTTAGCTATACTGCATTCAGTCAGGGCTGTATTTTTGGCTTTCAAATCGGACTCAAGTTTGAGCAGCAGTAATGTCACCCTCTTTGTTTTAAACAATGATGTACATTCTGTGGCCGACATGTCTAACAAAAAATCCATCAGTCTTGAAGCTTTTACGTTTTCTTCCTCCGGGAGAGCTTTCAGAATAATATTAAAGCATTGTTCAAATATTGCCTAAATAGGTTTTTAGTTTATTTGTTATAATATTCTTTAAGGATATTAATAAGCCTCAAGTCTCATCTATTTTAATAAGCTCCTCACAAATATCTCTTAGTCAAGCTTAGTTTGAAAGTGTATCTTTAAGGATTGTTTTAGCGTATACAACCCTCATCCGTGGAATGCATTTTGCCCCTGTGCAACTTTTAGCTGCTGAGTTGCGCAGTTCAAAACAGGCCAACGGCTCCTTCATTGTGACTTGAGGACCCAGGCACAGAAAGAGGGCTCAAATTGCAACACATCTCCTTATTTTCTGTATTTTTTATTTACATATGCAGTTGCATTGTTCCAGAGAATCATGGCAAGTGTCACGATTTCACTAGTTCATTGTGCAGATCTCTGTGCAGATATAGTCTCTCACAAGAAAAAGGCTTATAGCTGCAGCTGTACATATCTTTTTTTCCTCAAAATGCTAACAAAGGGAAAACTGAAGTTGCACTGTGAGCACTTCTGCGTACAGTTGCAGCATTGAAATGTATGTTTTTTTTACAGTTGAGTTAAGCCTGGAAAGCACACTTAAATTCAGTTACTGTTCAAGCCCAAACATCCTCGGCAAAGGAAGTGTGTTTTGTCAAATTATAGGAAGAGCGGATTGTGGAGAAGGTTTTTAATCTGACAAAACAATGTATTTTTGAAATAGCAGATTTTGAGTAATCGAGGCTCAGCCTGGGGAAACCTCTCGATTAATCATGGGGATGTCAATTGCACATAAACTTTTTTGTGCATCTTCGGGGTCACAGTTGCATACAAAGACCAGTTATGACCATGTTGACAGAGTGTTTCAGATGAGACTTAACGATACCACAGCGTTTGTTGCATAAGATTCACTGTTCTGCCAAGATGTTATCTGGGTTTACCCCCATAAATGCTTGAGATCAGTAGCAGGTGCTCAGCAACGAAACATATCACGAATTTCTAACCTTGGTCAATGGAGAGAGTGTCCCGTGTTAAAATACAAAAAATCAAGTCACATTGTTCTGCCTGTAGAAAGGGTCGTGTGGCATGTTGCCTTTTTGGCCATATCATTGGTTGCTGTGTGACACGCCCGTTTGTCTGTGGCTTCCTTTTGCACCATGTGGTCTTGTCCTATGCCACGGTCATGTGCCGATTTTTCATTGATAAGCAAAGCCAAAGCAGTTAATTTTCGAGTGAACAGTCGATGTTACCTTTTCCTTCCAGAACATACACCTCCAATATTGGCGTAAGATTGAAGCTTTTTCCTTTAAGTAAGTGTAAAGATGTTTTCTTGATTTTATTCTTGAAGCACCCTCCAAGCTTTATTTCAAATCTTCAATGCTCAGGCGAATCCAAACGGAACACGACTAATAAAGCCCGCACATTAACTATTTAATTTAAGGGCACAATGGCCTTGGTAAAGTATATATGATTTTACTTAATTCCCTAGACGGGGTCTCCTTAATTGGAAAAAAATACACGCCATTAATTCAGTGGAATGGATGCGCCTTTATATCCTGCAGTTTCTACTCTTCAATGAAACAAGCAAGCACAAAATCATCTGTAATTTGAAGCCAAACAAATTTGCCTTGAACTCCTTCCTTCGTTTTCAATCAGCCAGTGGCATTGCAGCGTTGTTATTAATTTTGTTTGGCAATGAACGGCGCACCTTAACATTGTCTTTCCAGTTGATGGCTCCTGTTTTAACACAATAGAGGCCCAGGAAAAATCAAAAGTGAGCCTTGACGTTTTTACAAATTTACCTTGTCAGGTAAGGTTAAAGAGAAAATAATGCCCTGGCCTATTTCGTCGTGTTTACGAAAGGGATAATTGACGGGTTGGAATTTCTCATGACTGCACAATGTTTGCTTTAACTGGGAGACGGTATTGATTTTAACCCTCCGATGCACGGGCCCCATGCCAGTCAGTACAACACTGGTAACAACTGAATGCTATGTCAGGCGCGGTCTTTTGAGATTTTGCGCATTTTCGACATGTGTCAGCCATGGAACTACACAGAAACAGTACGAAGCAGAATTCGAGTAAAAAAAGGTTGAAACATGTTTTACCAAAACGGAACACTTTTTTTTCAAAATCGTACGTGTTTTGAGAAATCGAATTATTTTCACAACGAGTGTCATTTTTAAAAATATCGTTTTGTCACGTTTGGAATTCATTCTAAAAAAGAACCGAATTTTAGAGATGCAATACATATTTTTTAGAGCCGAATCTGATAAATTTGTATACACGGAACATATTTCCAGATTGGAATAAATTTGGAAAGAGTTTTCATGTTTTCCAAATTCGAATGATGATATTACATATCCAACATTTTCTCAAGATTGGAACGAATTTTTAAAGTCCAAACTTTTTTTTAAGATTGGAATAAAAATGTTGAATCCAAATATATTTTTTAATTCGGAACACATTCCCCAACATAGAGTTGTCATTCAGAAATATCCTCCAAAAACCTATAATACGTGAGGAACAGTGCAATTTGGTGGTCAGTTACGGAATTTTACTTCAAAGGAATCTGTCAGTAAAAGCCAAAAATAAAACAGATTAAAATATTGAACGGATCGTTTAATTTAGGAGGGAATAAACTTATGGCATTAATGTGCTTGTACAAAATATTCTCATGTTTCATTTAACCTTTGCTAACGAGAATTGCGTCAAGTCAATTTGACTGAATCAAGAACTCTAGTGCAGGTAGGTAAATCTTTTGCAACATTGTACAACCTCATTTCACGCGAGCTCGAAGAATGAAAATAAACATGCGCGATGAACAAAGAGACAAAGGAACGATATTGCTCGAACTAAAATGTCGTTAATGAAATTCGTTCTTTTTTTTTACCCATCCCCAGGTTACTTTTCCAAAATTTTACTTGAAGATGACAAGGGTGAAATTCCAGCAGGGGTGTTTAATGGGATGGGTCTTCAGTCAGGAGTCCCTCTTCCAAAATTATCAAACGTGATAGGATGCCCTTATGAAAAATCCCCATAGGCAGATTCAGCCAGGGTTCCGGAAGCTTGGTACGTGACCTGTTCTTTTAGGCTCCATAGTCAAGCTACAGAAGCTTAAAGTGACCGTCCATTTCCAAGATATATTTTCTTGGAAGATGTCCTTCTCCTACTGGATTTCTCTAAAAGAGGTCTTTCCCAGATATAACGTCTTGTTCATGTAACTACCAGAGTAAGCAGTTTCAATAACAGATCACTTAAAGTTCAGCTGCTGTGAAGTGCGTGTATGAGATAAGCTCGTACAAAATATCGGAGTACTCCCTCTTTCCGTGTTAATATGGGGAAAAAACACGCAGATGGTCACTTTAGGTTCCGTATCAACTACGGATCAAGCTCACATGATGATCGATGTTACTGCATCACTGAGCAAAGAGGCATACCCTGGATAACACTGATTTCAGAGATAAAGTATCCCCAAAACACGGAATTCAACGATAACCCTTTGTGGGAACATCTGTTTCAATGATTAAACAATTTATCTCTGAAATGCAGAACAGACATAACATTTTTCAGGAACACGGAATTCATTGATAATGTATCTCGAAAACCAGTAATTCAAAGTTTGTGCTTTGGTACATGGCAAGTACCGTTTGCAGGGTAGTATGTACGGAGCGTTGGAAGTGCCATCTGACTTGTTGAGATATCGTAAACTTGGTTGATGACATCCTAAGATAATTTATCAAAGGAGACGCATCCTAAAAAGCTGGTTGATAAAATCCTGAAATAAGGATTAAATCGGGATATCGTCATCCAGACACATCCAGCAAGTGTGATGATCATGTCTACTTCACCACTTGTAACAGGCGGTGGGATATTATGACGTTTTAGTAATCTACTTAAAGAGCCCATGACGTTTTTTAATTAGTTTGAATAGAAAGATTTCATATCAGTAAAGTTATCGCCCTAATTACTAAGTATGAGAAAAAATTATAAAGAGTCTTTGGGAAACGGCCCTGCCCCAAGACAAGCACCTTATCAGCATAGAAAATTTGCATAATTGTGATGCACGTTTGAGAACACACATCGACCAGCGGCGCCGGCGCCAACAGTGTTAGTTCAAAAACGCAATCTCGAGATCATTAATGTTTGCTACAATACTAATCAACCAACCAGGTGCGTTGCTGCAGGTTGTGGTAGCACAATTACAGATGGCGCAAGTATGCACAATTTTCCAAAAGACGGAAATACCGGAAACTTAGGACGGCGATAATCAGGCTTACACGGGCAAAGTGCACAGCGCCATCGCCGAGCACCAAGCTATGCAGCGACCACTTCAAGCCTGAATGTTTCGACGTTTTGTACGTACGTACACGCATGACACGTGTATGGGTATTTTCCATGCCGCGCCGTGAGGAAGTTGTATGTGCTATGCTTGGGTTCAGACGGACAAAATGGTGCAACTCAACTATTTGTGGGTTCTGAAACATACGTTACGAACAGAACTGCTATTTGTCGCGATTAAAACATGAATTTGAGGGGGGCAATTTGAAAAACAGCAATAACCATAATTAAATTCCAAAAAAAATATTTAATGCAGAAAATAGCAAATAGTCCAGGGAGGTCCGCATGGGCCATTTAATATCATGTATGGCAATAGGAGGATAACGCTTTGACAAACAGAAGCACCCCGGGCCAAGATGCTTTGTTATCAAGTTGGTTGGCATTTCCAAAACTCCGTACATACTTCCCGCAAAGGCTACGTGCTATGTACCAGTACACGAAAAGGGGAATTCAGGGTTTCCAAGATACATTATCGTTGAATTCCGTGATTCTGAGACCCTTTATCTCTGAATTATGCATTTCAGAGATGAATGATCATTGAAATCGATATTCCCACAAGCGTTATCGTTGAACTTCGTGTTTTGGAGGATCTGAAATCAGTATTATGCAGTGTGTGTTTTTCTGTTTCCACAACAAATTAACTCGGTAACGCGGTAACACGGATGGTCACTTAAGCTACCGTATTCGACAGAGCTAGCAAAGGTTATCAGAGAACAAGCTGCAAGCATATACGAGTAGACGTATGGCTACGATGACGGACAGACGTTATGCGTGCTCGTTCCTGGTGATGATGATGGGCTTCCTTGGGCGAACCGAACGGAACCACTCCAAGGATTTATTTGTCATGATAGAGTCATATCATTTTACTCCATTATATAGGTCTGCCTCACATCTCACACAAGGATAAGAAAGAGTGTTTAATTGTATAAATGGTGAACGCGATAGTGTATTCCACACGAATTTCAACATAGGAAATGCGCATTTTTGACCCACTCTTCCCAAAAGGCCCTTAAGACATTTTATTCTTCTGTACATCTATCAGGATATTCAGGACAAGATAACAAAACAGGGACCACTTAATAATTAGTTTGACATTTGAAACGTAGTAGTTACTTGTACTGGAATAATTTGAATATTCATTTCAGAAGTCAAATTGTTTACAGTAAAAACACTAAATCTATGAAAAATAATGAAACATATGATTTAGGAGACTGAAACTGCACCCAATTTACATTTACTCAGCTCCACGAACAATACGAAGTGTGCATTTTCAGGTTAAAGAGCACTATTGCCTAAGCTATCCTTGAACATTCAAAACACCGAGGCTCTTCGATGGGGTGTAGTTATTCAACTTTAATAGCCAGAACCCAGTGGTATGCTTGTTTCATCTAAGCCGGGTAGCTTCGGCGCACTATTCTTACCCTATATCTTGCCCCCCCCCCGAAATTAGGATTTTATGAGAGGCTGTCGCCACGCCATCTGTGGCGCGTTACTTTACTGCTTTACTTTACCAGGGACAAAATGCTACTTCACGAAGTTCTTGAAAAAGCCGCCTATCAAGTAAAATCTACCCCGGGGGCAGGGGAAATTCCGCCATGGGACTCTCAGCTCCTTTTGCCCCAATCCATCCCTAAAGTCTGTCTACACCATTGCAGGCCCAGCAGGATCTAGGACAGAAGCTCTATGTTTAATTCATGTATAAATAAAGTTAGACTGGATTAATTAAAGTAATTATTAATTAAGAATGAAGTAATAATATGTTCATCAGTGTGTAAATTAATGCCAAGCCTGCAATGGTACAACCACATTTAATTCAAGAATATATATGGACAAAATAGCCAAAAATTCAACTATTTGATTAAAACTCTTGCATAATCATAACACATATTTTTTACTCTAAATAGAAACACATTCAAGTAATTCTCCGTACCCCAAGTAACTAACAAGCACTCTAGCATAATAATTTCCGTGTAGGAATGATTACGAACAACTGCATTCCCTTTCTGAAAATAGCATTACCAACTACCCGTTAAAGATTTCATTATCAAGAAAAATTAAGAAAACATTTAATATTTAAATTTCAAATTCCGCTGTTGTATACGTCTAATAAATGCAGTAAGATACAATCCAAGCTGGTGTTTTAATTATTACGGTACATATTAACTAATGCAAAAGAGAAAGATTACATTGTTAAAACAGTTCCAAATTGTTCATGTCAAGCAAGGTCCAGGTAGAGTTGGGTCAAACAGACTACAGGTAATCTTCAAGATGACATTTAATAACCAGACACACTTTACGTTTTCCTAATAATTGATACTTTTTTTGCAAACATGAACGACAAAAACTACTACAGGAGGTAACGGAGGGAATGGAGTAAAAATCTGTAAACTTCCCCCGTTGACAAGTCTGCTCGTGTATTCTTACTAGATTCCGGATATAGAAACTTCATAGGTCGAAGTTTGGACACTGGATGGTAAAGAAGGAACTGCCGAGGTCGACATCAGCTCTGCGTCGCTGGACTTTGGAGGACGTGAGCTTGGCAAACGGCGGGTGATAACTCTCAAGTAGGGTGAGACAGCAGCACGAACCTCCTCACGACGAACGCAAAACATAATAAAGATGATCACACCCTTCAAGAAAAGCGGAGAAAATATGTCTTCTGTTCAAGCACTGTAAGGCAAAAGTACATATTCGGAATCAAGTCAGATTTTTTTTTCCATTTACCTGAAAAGAGTTTGCAAGACAGAAGATGAGCTGGAAGGCAATTGCCGCTTCATTGATGGCCAGGAACCCAAAACACCAGGTCAGTCCCATGAGGGTGGAGATACCCACAGCATTCTGGAGGCGTTTGGAGATCTGCTGGGAGCGTGATACCTCTTTAACCTTCAGGAGACTACGCATGACCAAGACGAAAGTGACGATGTTATGGATGAGGATGAGACCGATGGGAGTAAGGAGACCAATGTACAGCACCAGACCAGGTCGCAGGAAACAGCTGTAGAAAATACATAAGGTGTTTGATTTAATGTCCTTGTTGGGTACACACATGCAATATATTTTAATTAGGATTTGTCTTACTTACTAGTGCACAGTGCTGTAGTGATTGGTAGCTGCAGCCAGTGTGATCGTCAGAACAATCAGTGGAAATCCTAAGGAAGAATCATTTGAAGACATCCAACATTTTTAATAGGCCTTGGCACAAAAAAGATATCCCATAATTTATGATCCAGGCTTAAGCCTTGACAAAATGATTAAAAATAAAAACAAAACTCACCCCAAGCAATGACGCAAGCCTTGAGCATGTACCAAGGCCTGTCTTCTGGGAACACCTTCACCGTACTGATATACATGTTCCTGGCTTCAACAGCCATCCACATCATAGTGGATAGAGTCAAGTAGTGGAGTAAAGCAGCAACAAACGCACAACCACCCACAGAGGCCTTTGATATATGAATATAAAGAAAAACATCATTCGTAGCGACCTGAAACATCAAATGACAACAACCATGACGACCAACACTGATTACTTTGTCTGATTAGCTTTTACCAGTAGTCGGAGAGTGTCATTATGTGTCAATACTTGCTCGTGACACATTGTAAAAATACAGTTGATTACGAATACACAAGTAAATAAAATTAATAAAGTGTACGAAAATTGTTGACGATGATGTAAACACTGCAGTGACCCATCTGGCCAGATATACTTACTTTTCCAGTGTCAATACCAGCAAGGAACACGATGTACAGCAGGAACAGGGATAAGCAAAATTGAATGAAAATCTGACGAGATATACCACTTCGTAACTTCCTGAAAACAAAATTAATTTGGTGATGCTCATTTTTGGAATATCACTGTGGGGTATCATGCAAAAAGTGGGCTTGGGAAACAAGAAATCTTACCTATAAAACCCGTAATCCCAATTGAAAGATACCAGTGAATAAACTTTGTATACACCTAATTATATGCTAAAAACAAATCACTGTAAAGAGATATAAGACATCATGTATGTCTTGAATGGATGGTTTCTTCATGGAGTTACACTTGCAATAATGAGGTCTGTGCCTACAACATTGATTAAGGCCAGGTTGTAAGGCCCTAACATCGACTGGTAGTCCTTAAGCCAATTTTACTGTACATAGGGCAGCCTGTTATCTGTTTAACATTCTTAAATTGACCTAAATTATACCTGATAGCTAGGTATATAATCAACGTGACGGCCAGAGCTATGATTGACAAGGCACAGCCGACCTGACTGATGACATCGAGCGCTCTCTGGGCAGGAGTGTTTTCGGGTACCTGGCCCTTGACGTCCTAAGATAAAAATGACAACAAGCTTTTCTACGTTAGACAAAAACAACGTCCACGTAACAGTACCATAATAATTCTTACCTGGATTACAATGCATATATATTCAGTTCTATAATTGTGATTATAATTCAGCTCCAGGAGAACCTGCAGGTCATGTCCCAACACTAAAGTGGCCACATTGTCGTATACAATATGAGAAAGGTGACGTCTGGGTCCATTTCCTCCCATTCCTTTCAAACACGTGTAAAGGGTTCCGAAATGTATAGCTCCACCCCTTTAAAAGGCCATAAAAGTGTACACGAAAAATTCCTGGTTTCCTTCCCCCTCCATGAAAATGTGGTTTTGAGGCTAAGCTCTATAAGTGTGGAATGTCACGGAAAACAAGATAGCTGTTCCAACAATACAGCCATGGTCGTAACTCCCCGGAAATGGGTGTATATATGCCCCTCCCACTTTTTGGGGAGGGGGAAGGGCTATAGAATCATTCCTCCAGTTTTTGTGGTGAGAAAAAAATTTAAACGGGTTTGTGAGAGATGTTTCGGACTTCCGACGACAAAAATGCATTCAATATCACTCAAAATGAAAGGGAAACAAACAATTTCTTAATTTCTGAATTCTGAATGCACTGTACAGAATACATCAATATCATGAGTCATATATAGTCATAAGATGTCACTCCCTCCCGGCTTTTCAAAGTTTCATTGCCGAGCAAGTCACCCCCCACACCTTCCCCTATCCTTTATCCCCTTTTTCAGGCAAAGATTTGCGACTATAATATATATGGCGGAAATACAGTAGGTTTAGGAAATCATCGGGTACAATCATAGAGCGGAAGATACTGTAGCTCCCAACAACACTTACCAGAAGGATAGCAAAGTTGGTGGCGTGGTAACAATCACACGATACTCTGTCATTGGTCAATCTGGCCCGCTTACAGCCAGCTGATGACCAATCACCGACTCCACCCTCGAGATTAAAATCCCAGGAGACACACTGGATCGTCTGCAACTCTTCGTCCGTTACATTATCTGGTGTCTGTACAATACAATTGAGGGGAGAAAAAAACGAAAACTAAACCACAATTATTTGGCTTTGATTTTGATGAGATGCATTTCATCATGGGAATCAATGTGTGATAACTAGGAATATCCAGGGTCCTTATTGTCAAGCAATATCTAAATTAACAAATGCTATGGAAAATGAAACCTTCCCTATTGGATACGTTTCCTGTGAGACATTCTTTATTTTACCTTAAACTCGATGACGATTGGTTCAGTGAGGTTGACAAGTTCGATATTTTCCACAGTTAGTGAGACGACAGATCCAGCTACCTTACGAGTCGAGTTATTCTCTCCTCGATGCTCCTTGATTGAGACAGACTGGAACAACGTGTCATCTGCGTAGATCAAAAAGCTGACTTGAAGCTTAGCAGAGGGCTTTCCTAGATGTGGAGAAAAAATAAATTTAGAGTCAGCTACATGTTTTTGAACTTTTTTCTTATCCGGGCAAGAAGCTTAAGAATCTGAAAGGCTACAATGCTCTTAATTCAATTCCTCCTAATTAAAAGTATTCTAGATTAAAAAAAACTTTGCTTGATTTAAGAAGTGCTTCACTGCTGTGGCTACGAGTATTGTGTTTTATACAATCTCTCAATGAACATGAATAAGAATCATTGCTTGGTAAATAGACGTGACCATATCAATTGGAATGTTATAAGAGTTTCCTAAGCAGATCTTTGATTGTAATATGTAGCCTTACCGTCAGGGGACACTAACAGGTCGACAATATTGCTTGGTAGCCTAGCTGAGGCCAAGACATCGAAGTCCTCTGGTATTACACTGCTATTTAATCTTCTGATCTCTGTACCAGCAAGTGATCTGCCCTCTTGGGGTGACTCTTGTCCAGGTGGCAGAACAGTGGCCTCTTTTACAGATACAAAACTGAGACCGTCCCTTGCCTGCAAAGGGTCCAGACTGATCGCCTCAATGTGGATGGAGTCCTGCTGTAAACTAACCAGACCTTCTTGCTGAAGGGTCAAGGAAACTTGGATTTCTACGGACTGGACGATGGCTGAGGAGCTTCCTGCATCGATTTGGGTGGGTTTGGTGTCGGTAGCCGCCCCAGCATTCTCTATGACATTGTTGACGGTTTCCACCACTAACTCAGTAACCTTTGGAACAAGCCGAGTGAAAACAAAAGGAAAAATTAATACAAACTGCTGTCTCAATTTCATTTGGTAATGATGGTCAAAGACAGGTTCAAATATTCCCTAGCTAACTTCACCATCCGTGGAATTAATATATTTTAGAATTGATTAACAAAATACCTTGGTGTCACCAGATCCAGCTCCAACGATGTTCTCTAAAATATTAGAGACCACTTTGATATCTTCTGCAACCTTACTTTGCTCTGACGTCTCATTAGCAACGAATTCTACTACTTCAAGGACATTCCCAAGGCTGACCTCAACCTGACATCGAAAAGAGTTAAACGGCATTACTTAGCTGCCACATGGTGAACTATCTGAATGTTTATCAAGGACAAAACCACAAAAGCTTATCCTTTTGCTACGAAGCATTCGATCGACTGGTCAAAATGAAAGATGAACACCTCTTCAACGTCCTCAAGTGTAACTTCGTTCTTGTTGTCACCGCATCCACGAGGTTCGTGCTGTTCCCATCGAAAGTATACAGGAGGCTCCAAAATTGAACAATTCCTCACAGCAAGCGGTTGACCGGCTAGATAAGAAAATTGTTGTGGAATAATCATATCGAGAAATTGCAATTATTGCAAACTAGAGTAGTTATTTCTACATAAATAAAGTTTCTCAAAGTTGACATATTCATAACTCTCCAATATAAAGTTTCGTACCATTTGTTGTCATCAGTGAGCACCTCTCAACAGACTTTGCCACAGACCCCGCTGACGTCACAGGCCACGTAAGTCCGCTGTATTCTTCAGACTCACACTGACCTGTTGAATATGAAACCAGAAATAATCAAGCTTGTTTTTGAAATCACACTTTCCAATGATTTCATTACCGGTACCTGCTGTAACAAGATGAGCCTTCTTACCCGCAACTGTCACAAAGAAGGAACATGTCAAAACCACTTTATGTAGAGAAAACCACTGCTGGTAAATGATTCTGTGAGTTCCAATGAGGAACACATCACCAGGATTGGCGTTTGACGTGAAGTTGGTTGGTCCATCCCATCCAGTTAAATCCGGTACAATCCAGTTCACGCTGGTTCGATTCCAACCGGGACTAGCTAAACTCGTCACATTTGCTGGGCATACAATAGCCACAACTGTAAAGATGAAAGCAGTATAGTCAGATAGAATGATAGAAATTGTCCCTTCCAACTGCAACCCGCTGGATGGACTTCTTTCTGTAATGCTTTCTATAAAAGGTTGGCGCAAAAAAGGACTTGTTTCCACATACCTGCTACGGTGACGGTGAACTCGCAGACGTTAGCATTCCCTGACTTATCTCTAGCCGTGTATTTCACAGTAGACAGCCCTGCTGAGAACGTACCGAGACCATGTTGGTAGCATTCATTAGGTGAGGTTACCAAACAGGTAAATACCACATTTACCTCAGAATCGGAGTTGTCCAATGTGACAGGGGGCATCCAGCTATAGGATACCTGATCAGACGATGACATGACAGGAATAATGACGTCATCAGGACAGCCGAAGATTTCAGGTGATTCGTTATCTACAATGGTATATAAAACATGCCAGTGAAATGAAACTGGAAAAGCATAATATACAGCAGTGTGGTAGGGCATATGGGGTAGAAACCACGCAAAAAAATGAAGCTGCCGATATAAGCAAACCAATAAAGCAACCTACATGATCATAGATCTATTGCCAATGCAATATGTTCTAAATTTTAGTCAATTTATTCTGATTTGTCACCACTTGACGTGTCAGATCTTCCGACTTATCTGCCAGCACGTCCTGCTCCCTAAGTGAATATTTGAGAAGCTTTAAGGTGTAGGACAACTCAAAATGCAATAAGGCCTGTGGCCCAGACAACATTCCTACTAGGTTTATCCGCAAATTTGCATGTGAATCAGCCAAGCCCCTTACTGCAATCATAAATTGTTCCTTTGCTCAACATTGTGTTCCTTTTCAGTGGAAACGAGTCACCACTGTACCGGTTCCCAAATCTGGTCCAGCAACTGTTGAAAATTTGAGACCTATTGCATTAACTGATCATTTTGCAAAGGTTGCTGAACACTTTAGTGCAAAGGAAACCTTGAAACAAATGGAATGTGGTCTGGATCCCACGCAATATGGGAATCGTAGAGGGGTTTCTACATCACATTGCTTGATTAACTTACTTCACACGCTGCACTTTCAGGCAGAACAAAGGAAATCGGTCTCTTCTGTTTTATTAACAGATTTCTCTGAAGCATTCGATCGAGTTGATCACACCATACCTCTTAGCAAGCTTTTGAATATGGGAGTTTCCTCCTCTGTTGTAGCTTGGGTGGCCGATTTTCTGTCTGATCATGTGCATCGTGTGAGGTATGGTCAATCTCATTCGGATTAGTCACCTGTTTATGCTGGTGTTCCACAGGGCACAAAATGGTAGAACTGAACGTTTTAAAAAAAGTCTTATGCCATATTTTACTCAACTTTTGAATAATAGTAACTCACCATTTTGTGTGTCCTTGTCCTCACTTAAACTCACCTTGCAATGTTTTAGTGTTTTTTTTTACTTTTTGCTGACTGTCCACTTTTAATATGTATCCTAAATCAATTGTGTATATGTCCACTTTATTGCTCAGAATGACTTCTATTTGTATGTCCTACTGGCCTCTAACTCGGGTGATGAATATCCTGTAATCTTTTTCAATATTGTTTTTAGGTTCATCTTTTTTAGAATATTTTTTGTCTTGTTTCGGTCAAGTTTGTGTTGATGTTGTAATTTTTGTATTATTAAAATTTGTAAAATCTCAGTAATTCAGCCTCTGGCTGCTATTAAGTTTTCAATAATAAACCAAACCTACCTATAACTATAATGTTCATGTCACATAATGCTCTATTGTGTGAATCGTCGAATGCGATGTATTGCAGCAAGTGTGGGGATCCCAGTAGGCTCAATATGATGTCTTCGTTAACCTCATAATTGTAATTCTGTGCAGAACCTTCAAGATTGATGACTATCGAAACCATTCCCGAGTTGTCAGAAACAGATACAGGCGCAGGAAGAGAGACGGTGGCAACATTCTGACCGGCGTCCGTCTCAACTGTTAAGCTTGCAGGACATATTATGATTGGACGCTCGGTATCTGTGCACAAGGAAACAAACATTATGTTGTTTAACCTATTCCTAACGTAAGTGTAGTTCCTTGATGTTTTATTTGTTGAAAGAAAAGAGTAACAGAAAACAGTTTACTCAAATCCTCGTGACAAGACGGTATCGGCGAGCATTATTTGTTTCAATGGCCTCATTTTTCCGATCAATATTATGCGTCATACAGTTTTGTCTTGTGGGAAAAATGCTCTTGCTGCTTATTTTTTACTCTGTCTCTATGGAGTGTGTGAAGGTACAAATATGCCAAGATGTCATCAGGATGAACATTCGGAATTTAGACGGTCTCATCATCCCCACGTTTTTGTGCTATTTTTGTGTTACAGGTATGAGCAATCTTGTTTGCCTGTAATTTCGTGTTACATGTTTCAACTGTAAAAGATATATATCACGAAGGCAATCTTGTAGGTAAAGTTAGCACTTGTGAAGTGAATCATTTATATTACGTACCTAGTGGTGGCAACGTTACATCAGTGTCCGTGTTACAAGTCACTCCAGCATCGCTGTAATGTCCACAGCGGCTGTTAAACCATCCATCGTGACTGCACTGCTCAATACTATCTTCTGTTCCATCGCAGGCAACGTTGTCCAGGAGAATGGGTCCATAGCCTTGCCCAAAGTGGGCGTTGGTCCAGGCTTGTAATGCAGAAGGGTAGCCAAGTTGTCGACAGATGACGTGGGCATCTCTGATCGTCCAACCACGGTGGCAGATTGTACCCCAGAAGCATTTGTAAAACACTTCGACTCGTCCTTCGTTGGGGGTCTTTCCATTCACGAGACGTACGGAGACTATTTTGATAGAGAAAGAGGTTCAAATACATTTCATGCAAACACCGCCAAGCATGTGATTTAAGGTAAAGGACCAGGAAATGTTCCGTTTAGTTACTTTATCTCTCTAAACAGTTTCGAAAGAGTTAAGGCGTATAATTGAAATGAAAGCCCTGCACCACATGATTTACGACCTTGAGTTGCTTAAAATAGAATTTTTTTAATTAAAATGCAAGAATTTTTGTCTTTGCTGTGAACAGGAATGTTCTCCAAAGAAATATGAAAAATTTATCAAACTAATTGACCGTCGGTTTTAATGTCGGTTTAAATTACCTCGTTCGGAGGTCGCATTGAAGTGGTATTCTCCACAAGTCACCCCAGCACCACCTTGGTTGATACATCTATGGGGAATCTCTCCACCATGATCACACTGGGCAATACTTGATTCCGTGCCGTTGCAAGCTACATGCAGCAGAGTTGGTCCTGAGCCTTGACCAAAGTGCCCGCTACGCCAGGCCTGGGATGCTGGAGGTAAGTTAAGCTGTCGACAGATGACGTTGGCGTCTTCAATGTTCCAACCGTCATCACAGACCGTGCCCCACTGGTTTTGGTAGAACACTTCCACGGTGCCTTCGTATGGGGTTGTGCCGTTGACGAGGCGCACTAAAACTAAATAGGGACCGTATGTGATACATTCACATACTACCTGCTTTAACTTGGATAACGTTGTAGATGCGCCAAGATGCATCGAAATTTAACACAGTTTTATAACATTAATTACCGCTTGTCATAACATCAAGAGCTGCATGAACCAACCATTCATTACCAAGGATAAAACTTTGTCACAGGACAAATGAAACGATTGTTTAAGCTTCAGAATGATATGACAGTTTTGTATATGACAACTGAAAACCTACCAGTTGAAAGGTCGGTTACGTCACATGTCACTCCCACATCATTACCGTGATAATAACAGTTGTTACTAAACCAACCGCTATGATCACACTGATCGATGGTGGATTCGTCACCTTTACATCCAACAGAGTTTAGTAGAATCGGCCCTGTGCCCTGACCAAACCGAGCTCCAGTCCAGGTCTGAGATGCAGAAGGGTAGCCAAGCTGTCGACAGATGACGTTTGCATCTTCAATGTCCCAGCTGCTACTGCAAATTGTACCCCATTGACACTTATAGTAGACTTCCACTCTACCTTCATGAGGCGAGGTCCCATCAGCAAGTCGGACTGCAACTACACCAAGAAGTTAAAAATTCCAATGTAAGTTTAAAGTTTGATATTATCATTCCACCAGTCAGAATTGCATTTTGTGAATTATTTGTTTATTTCTTTGTAAACCTCTGCCAATGTTAACCAGTACAATATGTACAGAAACTTTAGGTAAAAGATGTAGCCCAAACAATCACATAAGAAGAAGGGTTTTGAAAATTTCTACATTCCTATACTATTATCTATTTAGCTGTGATCCATGCAAAGGTGAAAACTGTTCAAATCCATTTGTACGCGTCACTTGGCTATACACAATATTAACGGCAAAATCTGTGATAAAGACCAGTTTGAAATCATGTAAATATTGTTAAAACTTATGCATGACTGAAGTTGAAGCTTTCATAAGGAATGACTTACCAGGTGGAGGGAGCGTAGGATTGCAGGTTACTCCAACGAGATCATAGTAGTAATACCATTCAACGCTTTCATCCTCTATGCTGTCATAATCACACTGAGTAATGTTTGTCTCGTTTCCATGGCACCTAACATTTGAAATGAGAACCAGCCCCGATCCTCGGCGGTAATAGTAACTCTCCCAGGCCTGAGATGCAGAAAGGTAGCCAAGCTGTCGACGACAACGACAGCCTCTTTAATGCTCCATCCGTAGCCCCCGATATTGCCCCATTGGCAGCTATCGTAAACTTCGACTAGACCTTCATAAGGAGTATTCCCGTCTACCAATCGAACTGAGACTGTGGAAAAGCAATTAATGAAACTGTTGTCTCAAACTGCTATTCGTTCATTGCTAATTTGGCATCAGCTGCAAGATTAAACAAAACTGTAATTCCTTTTAAAACAACTGGCATGAAATATACTAACATTTTAGTCAAAGTCTATATACGCGTCGACTCATAGTGCTTTAACAAAGCATTTAAGAATATTATTTAAACACAGCACCCGTTTCTTTTACCATACATAATCAACAAGAACATCTGCTTTAATGCTGCAACTTCATGTTTATGCACAGAATAGATAAACAGCTTTCAAGAATCGTCATAGCCTTAAAAATTGGTAATTTGATTGGATCCGAATAGAATACATTTTAATGCGGTTGGACCATCAATAATATATATTTTTTTCTGAACATTAACCAATTACATGTACTGAGTAATAAACCCACCGATTGAAAGAGTAGAGACGTCGCGCGTTTCTCCACAAGTTACTCCAACATCGTCTGCATGACTGCAACTATGATTCAGCCAGCCATCATGGCTGCATTGGTCGATACTTGATTCAGTGCCATTGCAAGCTACACTACTTAAGAGAATCGATCCTGAGCCTTGACCAAAGTGCCCGCCACGCCAGGCTTGGGATGCAGGAGGTAAGCCAAGTTGTCGACAGATAACGTTGGCGTCTTCAATGCTCCAACCGTCATCACAGACCGTGCCCCACTGGTCTTGGTAGTACACTTCCACTCTGCCTTCATATGGGTTGGTTCCATTGACGAGACGCACAACAACTGAGACAAACAGGTTGTGGGATGTATTATGGCATTTCGATGCAATATATTGTCTAGACTCTCCCAAAAGTGATATTTTCCACATCTAGCTTCCACTTCAGTAAATAGGAAAATTAAATTACTTAAGGGATGATATATCGAATGATTAGTGTGTATCAACTCATATAATAACGTTGAAGATGTCTAGCTATCGTTGGCAGAAACCTTAATTTAAGTTGGACGTGGATAGTCCAGAATAGATTTTAAATCGGCACTTGCTCCAGGGTCTGTGATTTGATGTGGACGATCTATTAATTCATAAATTTCTAAAACTTAATAAAATAAGTCTTAACATAACTGGACAAGTTTGGATTCTGTACTTCATTCTGATGACAACAGAGCGTATTAAGCTATATATAAGCTTGCACGTTGGTGTATTGTCAACTTAACTTTCTCGGCCGAAAAGGCCCATAAATGCTCTTAAACATCAACTCACCTGACTCAAACAATGTAACATTACATTCAACTCCAACACCAAGGATGTAATAGTAGTAATCATGTGAAAACCAACCACTGTGGTCGCACTGGTCGATGCTTGATTCATGCCCATCACATTCAACATATGCCAACAGAATCGGCCCTGACCCTTGTCCAAAGTTTCCATAATGAAGAGCACGTGAAGCAGAAGGGTAGCCGAGCTGGCGACAGATAACATTGGCATCTTCGATGGTCCAATCGTAATCCGCTATCATCCCCCAGTAACACTGGTAGTAAATTTCCACTGTGCCTTCGTAAGGGCTGCTACCATCAACAAGTCGTACTAAACCTGAGAGAAGACGAACTTTTAATACGGTGCTTTTCAGAAAACACTATAGTCCACTACTAAGACTTTGTTTAGTGTTGAAACACCTATTTGCTACCAGCGTGTGAACATGTTCAAGTGACAGACATCATTATAGTTTCGACAGATATTGTTTAGCCATTTAAAAGTGATGCTTTGGCATTCTACACCTATTGCCTTTAGCACCTACAAAGGGAAAGTAAGATTGTTTGAATTCCTAATGAAGGTTTTAGAGTACACTTCACTGGTGCCAATGAAACTGCACAAGATTCTTGCAGTAAGTTCCCAATTTTATTTCCTTTTATTTAGTATATCTTCAGAAAATGTTCTTGATGAATATTCATACTCATGCCGTTCTCAGAGGAATCATCGCACTCACTTTGGGGAGGAGCTGTAAGACCGCAAACCACTCCAACATCAGAATTATGATTGCAGTCTTGATTAACGAACCATCCGCTATGGTCACATTGGTCAATACTTAATTCATGTCCATCACAGGCAACATTCTCCAGAGCAACGGGTCCTGTCCCACGTCCAAAGTAAGCATGTTGCCATGCTTGAGACGCTGATGGGTATCCAAGTTGACGACAGACGACGTTAGCTTCCTCAATCCTCCACGAAGAACTACATACACTTCCCCAATGGCCGCTGTAGTACACCTCTACGCTACCCTCGTTAGGTGAGTCGCCACCGATCAAACGAATGGGCACTGTACATTTCAGAACATAAAAATAAGCCTTTTTGGGGGAGAGAAAAAACTAATCTAGGAAAAGATTTAATTAAAATACAGTTGCTTCCAACGCATCATTGGAAGGTAAGGGAATATGATACAAATGGTACTTACTGATTTTTAAGGTGAAGGAAGAAGATTCTAATAAAAATTGGCATGTTGTTTTTGAAATTACAAATATGTACAAGTTCAGCTAACAGCTCCCCCTGAAAACACTTTCTGGTTCCCCCTCGAAATTTTAATTACGTTACACCAAGGACACGTAGAATCACCCACCTGTTGGAGGAGGTACAAGGTGACAAGTTACTCCAACGTCATAGTAATGGTTGCAACCTGAATTCACATACCATCCGCTGTGCTCACATTGGTCAATACTTGATTCATTGCCATGGCATGCAACATTGGTAAGGAGAATAGGTCCAGATCCACGACCAAAGTGAGCATACTTCCAGGCTTGGGATGCAGACGGGTAGCCCAGCTGCCGACAGATGACGTTGGCATCTCTAATGGTCCACTCACGGTGACAGACTGTACCCCAATGGCACTTAAAGTAGACTTCTACTCTCCCTTCGTTAGATGTACTGCCATTAACAAGGCGTACTGAAACTGAAAAAAGAGGAGGGTAGACGTATATTTTCATCATTTCCCTTCAGGATACATTCATTCTTGTCTCTATACACTCTAAAAACACCTGGGTCAGACTTTCCAGGTGAAATTATGACCTATTTTGGGTCTGACCCGGGTGTTTTTGGAGTGTAACGGCATTTACCTGGGGATGGACTCAGAATGTTGCAAGTCACTCCAGCATCCTTGTCATGGTTGCAGTTATTAATCGACCACCCACTGTGATCGCATTGATCGATGCTCGATTCAGTGCCATTACAAGTGACATTGTGCAGAACAATTAGTCCCGATCCTTCTCCAAAATAACCATTCAGGTGGGCTACTGACGCAGAAGGGTAGCCAAGCTGTCTACAGATGACATTGGCGTCCTCAATGTCCCAGCCATCATCACAGACGGTGCCCCACTGGTTACGGTAGTACACTTCCACTCTGCCTTCATATGAAGTAGAACCGTTGACAAGACGTAGTGGAACTGTAGAAGAATCAACATTGTGGTTTTCGCATCAAAAGGTATATTGTAAACTGTCTTTACCAAAGGGGTCATATGCTCTCCCCCCCCAAAAAAAGAGCCACAACCTTTTTTATATGAGCGAAAGCTTTGTGGGGTCTATTTTATCTCCCTTCCTCAAAAAGTTTCCCGAAATGTAGCCTCGAAAGGCCATAAAAACAGTTACAGGAAAACGTTTATTTTTCCTTCCAACCCAGGTTTGTCCCCATTGGTTCTTAATCCATCTTTCACCCTGCTTAAACTCAATAATAGCCTTGAATATCTGGGGTATTTAATAAACCTGCAATGAATACAGAAAAGGGATCATTTTCTCGTTTGTTCCCCTCTATTTGGATGTTTTGACGATGTTTCTGTAATTTTTAGTGCCACGTGCACTTGAACTATTGAAATTTCTAAATTAATTACGTAATGCGTCACATGATATGATAACGTCACGTAAAGAATCCGATCGTCAAAAACTTACTGGGGGAAGTAGTATCGCCATTACAAGTCACTCCAATGTCGTACGCGTGACTGCATCCGTTATAGTAATCATACCATCCTCTATGATCACACTGCTCAATACTCGATTCAGTTCCATCACAGACAACATTGGCTAGCACAACCGGGCCTGACCCTTGTCCAAAGTGAGCCCTTCGCCAGACCTGAGATGCAGACGGATAGCCAAGGCTGCGGCAAATAACATTAGCGTTTGAGATTGTCCACACGTTTGAATAATCACAGATTGTACCCCAGTTGCATTCGTAGTAGAGCTCAACTCTTCCTTCACTAGGCACGTTCCCACCAACAAGACGAACAGGAACTGGTAAGATAAGAAGACTTTAGATGTTCATCGTAGGATACAAGATACTTGGTTGACTAAGCACTACAGTGCCCTGGTTGTATAAACAATTTGCTGTATTTTTGAACACCACTGCTTGCATGTAATTAATTAAAAAGTATCGTCTTGAGTGAAGTGTGATGGGGACTGATTTTACAACAGAGGATATTTGAAAACCCACTTGCTCGATACTCTTGACTTGCGTCAGGATTAAAATGCATACAAAGTCTAACATCTGCCTCTTAAACTCACACTGTCCTCAATGACTTACCTGAAGAGGGGGCTGTAACATCACACGTTACTCCAACATCTGAAGTGTGATAACAATTATGACTGAACCATCCACTGTGAGTGCACTGGTCGATGCTGATTTCATGCCCAGTACAGTCAACTAAGTCCAAGAGGATCGGTCCTGATCCTTGTCCAAAATGTGCGCTGTACCAAGCTTGGGAAGCAGACGGGTAGCCAAGCTGTCGACAGATGACGTTGGCATCTTTGATACTCCAGCGTCGCTGGCAGATTGTACCCCAGTTGCATCTGTAGTACACTTCTACTCTTCCCTCATTTGGTGCATTTCCATTCACTAGACGCACTGGAACTGAACACAATTAAACCAAACAAGCAATAATGCAGAAATTCTTCCCATCGTGATGGTGGAAAACCGAAAACCGGCTTTCTAACGGAATTGCTCAGGGTTAACCAAATTACCTGGCGTAGATGTCGATTCTTCAACTGGCTCCCCACAAGTCACTCCAACATCTCTCGAATGACTGCAGTTATTACTGATCCACCCTTCGTGCTCACACTGATCTATCCTTGATTCGCTACCATTACATGTAACACTGTTCAGAAAGATTTGCCCCGATCCTTGACCGAAGTGAGCATTCTTCCAGACCTGAGACGCAGGAGGGAAGCCTAGTTGTCGACAGATCACACTGGCTTCTTCATCAAGGCTCCAGCCATCATCGCAGACTGTACCCCACTGACCATCATGGTAAATCTCTACTCGCCCCTCAAAAGGATTATTACCATTAGTAAGGCGAACTGGACCTGAAATAAAATCACAAGTTTGGTTGCATTTTTTTGTCACCCATGTAAGCATATTTTAACTGCATGCGCCTTTCAACGCTCAAAAATTTAGAATGTAAAAATAACTCAGGAAAGTTTTAATATCATTGTTCCCACGCACCTTCTTAAAACTTTACAGTTATAAATTCCACAGTGGCTACAACGAAACGGTGTTTAATCCAAACGAGAGATTTACAGTCCTGATACGAATTCTCAACTCACTTGGGTTGGCAGATGTAGTGTTGCAAGTCACCCCTACATCATATCTATGATACCGGCAACCGTGATTATACCATCCACTGTGATCGCATTGTTCAATGCTTGATTCACTACCATGACAGACAACACTGGTGAGGAGAATCGGTCCAGATCCTCCACCAAATTGAGCATTCCGCCAGGATTGGGTTGCGGAAGGGTAGCCAAGCTGACGACAGACAACATTTGCCTCATCGATACCCCAGTGACCACCGCAGATGGTACCCCAATCGCAGCGGTAGAACACTTCCACTGTACCCTCATTTGGCATGCGTCCACCAACAAGACGAACTACCGCTGTAAAGAGTCACAATATTTGGAAATCCAATAGTACTCGTTAGTATATCAGCAGAATGTGGTCGGTTTCTGTTTTCTTTGCAATGTGGTTAGGATTTTAGAATTCCTGAAACTACCCTTAGGCTAAAAGAAATTTACAAAAGGTCAAAGTACATTTGCGGGGAGCAACCAAAGCTTATGATGGCAAGACAAGCGAACACTAAAGGCAGGAGGCAAAACCCATCCCTCAACGTCTTTTCTATATCACTGTGTTGGTTTTTTCTTTTAGGTTTTTTTTTTTTTACAAGCCAATCTTTCCAGATTTTTTTGATATTTTTCTTCATTTTGAAACCAATTTTGTGTAAATCCAGCCTATTGCACTCACGCAATCCGCTTTCAAGCTTGCCGAAGCATCTATTGACGTGCCGCAGCGAAGTGTAGGCGAGTTAACACGCATGGCAATCAACAGTGTGCGTTGACACAAATTTTTCTGGGTTTAATAACTGTTGGGCTATTTCTGGGTGTTTAATGCGTGTTAAGTGTCACAAAACGCGGGCATGGGACATCAGAGTTCTTAAGGAGGGCGGTCCCTCCCCCTTCTGCGGCAGTGGGATTGTCCGAAAGTACCAGCTCTTGTAGGACTGAGTAACTTTACAGGCGGTTTCTAAAGCTCGAATATCACTCTACTTCGCCAAGCGTATGGAACAAGTTTTTAATAATTACACCAACGAAGGCCTAAAAATTAATAATGAACCTGACTTCGCATCCAAGGTCACCAGGACAGTTTTAACTGTTCCCTGTTAAACTCTACTGAAAGCACTATACATCGTGTACCTGGAAAGGCTACAGTTGTTTCGCACGTCACCCCGACGTCACTATTATGATTGCAGTAGTGATTAATCCATCCCGTATGATCACACTGATCAATGTTGGTTTCATATCCATCGCATTGAACATTATTGAGGAAAATTGGGCCTGAGCCTCGACCAAAATGAGCACCACGCCAGGCCTGGGATGCAGAACGGTAGCCAAGTTGTCTGCAGACGACACTGGCCTCCCTGATGCTCCAGCCACTGTGGCAAATTGTTCCCCACTGGTTTTGGTAGGAAATTTCTACTCTCCCTTCACTGGGTGTGTTTCCATTCACCAAACGCACTGGCACTGTAGGTTATGACACAAGAATGACACGAATGGTATAAAAAACTGTTGTACCGAAAGTTGGTTAACTACATCCTGTCATTTAGAACTCCATATGAAATATCTTCATGCAGTCTTGCTTCCGATACAAAGGTTAATTACCAGCTCATTGCTAGACTACATTTCCTAAAAATATTGACATAACTGTAAAGACATAACTGTAGGTAGGCGGCAACTGGTTCATTTTTCGCAGCTATACGCTTGCGAAAAAAATGGCTTAGATTCGATACTGCTATTTACAGAAGAGGAAAATATTAGGAGAAAAATATATAGAGTCTCACAAAGTTTATACTTACCTGCGTTAACATGATGATCGCAAAGGGTAGCACATGAAAAAGCAAATAGTATCACGGGCAACAATGGGTCTGATTTTGTTGCAGTTAGACCCATGTTCAATGGTAAGACAAATTGACTTTGTAATAAAGGTGAATCCTACAGATGTGTTATGACCGTAAGCTGACTGGTACTATCGATGCTAACTTCTTAACTATATGATTGGCCGTTCGGCTTGGTCAAGTCTAACGTGGAGCATCCAACGCTGCAACACTGCTTGTGTGGAGTACGCGACTTAGGGATATATGGGGGTGTCGTGTAGCTTTTCTTTGCGCAACAGGCTATTTTAGTTCTTTCATTGAAATGGTAGGCTTGACTGAGGTCACTATTCAAATCTTTGCGAGTTGGTACTTCTACGGTAAAATCCCTAAAAGTACAGGGAAAACTCACTGATCCGTTATAAAAACATAATAGGTGCCTAGTACGCGGAGAAACAGACACGAAGTTCTTTTTAAGTGCGCACTTGAAGGTCTAGTGCTTCCGCATACATGAACTAGCATAATTTAGTCAATAGCGGTGTTCTATGACTTAACTTGATGTGTAACACAAGGAGAAACAGTTTTGTCTGGACCCTTTTAACAAACTTGTTCATTGAGATATTTGTGAAATTAAGGCAATCAATTTTGTTTCCATCTGGACTCATTTTATGAAGATCTTCGTTGTGTACGCTCTCCTATGTTGTTCATTTCAGTAATAACATACGGGACAGTATATAAACGATGTGCTTTTTGCACGATTGTCTTTTAAGTTCGCCCAGAATGCAATGAAATCGAACGACGTTGTTTATGGAAAAACAATGGAAAGGAAACGTTCAACAAGATTCTGTCAGTTCAATGACACGTACTCCATGTCACTCTAAAACGAGTTTCTGTTTGAATAGCATCAAAACTTCCATTTGGCCTGTACGAAACTAAACACACACGACAAATTGTACCGGTATGCGGAAATAGTTGGTGCTTTGTCATAAACACAAATGACTCTTGCACTGCTATAGAATAAAATAGAAATTTCAGGGACGTAGCAGCTCGAGGCAGACACACAACGTGCCCCAATTGGATGTATTCTTCTGTACAAAAATTATGCATGCACTTGTTACTTCCTAGATTACAGTAGTGCATTTTGTTGTGTGTGGTAATCAGTTGAAGAAACTGCATCATGTCCAGAATTGCCCGACTCGTTATTATAAAAAGAATGGATTACACTCAAATTTAAGGAAGTGTACTGGCTTCCAGTTAGCCTAAACGGGTTGTACTGAAGATTCTTTACATCACTTTTTTAATTTATCCGCCATGGTGAGTTAGCACAATGCCTCAAAGAATTAATATCGGTTCATCATACAACTAATATTTGAGCTAAATCTTGTGACGATGTGAAAAGGCTATTCCTGGGACAAATATATAAAGTATGCGTTTATCGTGAGTTTACAGTTTACACCTCATGGAACAGACTGCCGATTTCGTGAAAATGTTGCTGAATTAGAGACTTCTACGATCGGAGCATGTTGATTTTAACTATTTGTAATTATAATTCGCCGACTTACTTATGATATATTTTAATGTCTTTCTGAAGCGTTTCGAGAATGTTATGTAAAAAGTTATAGGTCTATAAAGAACATATCATGATTGTATACATGCAATAAACCTCTTTGATATTCAAATTAATTAAAGTCCATAAGATGGCAACTATTCAATGTCAGGTTTGGCAGTGAAATAATCTTGAAGGAGCGCTACCTGGACCTTAGCAGCACTTCAAACCACACAGGATGACGGTACCACGGTTACCGGTATCTCAAAATTCTGGACGCTCGAGGGGTCGGGTATGGTGTTCTAGGCCTATATATCTGCCACAGTCCCCCCCCTCGGATCTCACCTCGCGTTATACCCAGCAAGAAATGAGACNTGACCAACACAAAGCGGGGGGGGGTTCTCTTCGTCTCATACCTTGCTGCATATGCCTCGCGTATCTCGCCTCGCGTATGTGCGCGTGGCAGATATAGAATAACCATTTCCCACGGTTCGTTAGTATAGCGGGAAATAATTGTCTTTGGAATTCGGGCAACACATTATGCGTATTTGGGTGTGCTAGTTACGTAACATGAGTTGTTTAAAATGAACGTTCAAACTCAAGCTGCCTTTATCGAGGATCGAGTTAAGCAGGCCGTGGCAGGATCGCAAGTGACGCCCTATTGGACGAGCTTGACGATTTGATATCGGTCAAATTTTCAGTATTCGAGGGCAAAGTGAGCGACACCCAAAAGCAAATTTCCGACAATCAACTATCGAAAATTACACAAAATATTCTGACAAATGACAGCTACAGATTCAAACGTAAGAGCTGCGAAGATCAGTAGAAATTTAATGTCAAGGTCGCCAAGAAGCTGAAGGACGTGCAGTCCAATCTGGACAGCATGAGAGATTTCTACAAGCCGCCAAAGATGTGGCAGCTAGAAGGTATTTCATTGATTAGGCATCGTCAGAAGCTAATACAAATGGCTGATTCGTCTGATTCGGGATGGCGGGCAGTCACTGCGTACGAAACAAGCCCATTAGCGTCGGGCTCTGAAGACGAAAAGCGCATTAGTGGAGCTGAATTTAGAGCTGCGAAGAAGTTGAAGCTCGATCAAGCCAAGAGAGTAAGAAAACCAGCAGATTTTTTTCGTGGCCTACATCTGCAGAGCAGATCCCAGGACCACGGCTGCTCTGCAAGGCGGGTGTTTGCTTCGCATGTGGTCAGCCTGGTCACTGGAAACACAAGTGCTTCATCAAACAGCTAGGAAAGAGCGATAAGATAAGTGATGAGTTCCTTTCCCTTGAACGAATGCAGGGTGCTGACCAAATAGCATCTGGGCAGGTTTTGATAAAGAAACTATTGTGCAAATTGATTTGATTTCACCAGTTGGTCGTTTGAAAAATTCGGTAACAAAGTAATATGATGTTAAGGTTAACTTTTATGTTCAAACAGTTCTTAAGGATGGATACATTATCCCATTCAAGAAGCTCAAGAGGCTTTTCTTTTAAATAATAATCAGTCGGCGATTCAAAATGCTACTTTTGTTTCAGAGGAGATTGAAAAGCTAAAAAAAAGCTGTATTTCAGAATGTGATCAAAAGCCCACAGGTGTCAATCCTTTGACCGTTGTTTTTAGTAAAAGCGGGAAAGCTAAGCTCGTTCTGGATTGCAGAAATTTGAATCCCCATCTGGCACAATTAAAGTTCAAATAAGAAGATGTTTCTACAGCGAGGCAGATTTTTCGGCAGGGTGATTTTTGTTCACATTCGACCTAAAATCCGCGTATCGTCATATTGAAATTTTAACCAGTCATAGGACTTACCTTGGTTTTGCATGAAACAAAGGGACACATATGTTTTTATAAATTTAATGCACTGCCCTTTGGCCTGGCTATTGCACCCTTCATTTTCACAAAGATGATGAAAACAGTGATTTCCTTTTATGGTCAAAAGGTCATAGAGTTGTCATGTATTTGGACGACGGTATCACAGGAGGTGATAATTTTCAAGTAGCAGTAAACCTAAGTCAAGAAATCCACAAGTTGTTGCAAGATTGGGATTCTGTGTTTGGGAACCTTCCCATTGGTTGGTGTTCAAGTGGTCCATGTCCTCAGGTACATTGCATGCAGCAAGTACAAGAATAGATGGAGTGGAAGAGGCTCTTGATTGTCTCCTCAAACTATTGGAAATGGATAATTGCAATCTGGTTTCAGCTAGGTAGTTGGCCTCTGTTGTTGGCCGAATAATATCATTGACCTATTCAATAGGGAAACTTGTGCGATCAAAGACGGGAGCCTTATACCAATGTGTAGATACCAGGGCTTGCTGGAATGCACGTGTGTTCATTGTTGACGATGCGTACAATGAAATCAAATTTTGGAGAAAGGAAGCAGGAATTCTAAATGATAAAGGCCTCCAGATTCAGTACAAACATTATCACGAAATCGATGTGCGGGAGCCTTGGTTGAAGGCACTGAGGTGATAGGTTCATGGAACCAAGAAGAAGCTCAGCAAAGCTCCAGTTGGAGGGAAACTGAGGCAGTAAACGGAGTTCTGAAAAGCTATGTTAAAATTTTAGAAAACATAAAAGTAAGATGGCTCACTGATAATAAGAATGTAAAGAAGATCATAAACTCTGGCAGTAACGAGTCAGGTTTGAAACATGTTGCATTACATATTCAAGATTTGTGTCAAGAAAGTGAAATTGTTATTCAACCGGAGTGGATCAAAAGAAGGGATAACATGAAAGCAGATGCGCTTAGTAGAACCAGAGATAGCGATGACTGGCAGATTCATGTTTCAATTTTTACCGAGCTGGATATAGCTTGGGACCCTCATTCGATTGACAGATTTGCAACGAACCTGAATGCACACTGCAAAAAGTTTAACTCTAGGTTTTGGTGTCCTCATGCCGAGGGAGTTGTGCATTTAGCCAGAATTGGTCTGGCGAATGTAATAGGATTGTCCCTCCGCCTATACCTATGCTTCGAGCAGTAAACAAAATGGGAAAAGAAAAGGCTATAGGTACCTTGCTTATCCCACAATGGAAAAGTGCCCCCTTTTGGCCAGACTTGGTTTCTGGTAATGTAATGGAGCGTTTAAAAGCTTTGTAAAAGAGAGCAAGATTCTTCCTAACTGTGATGTAATCACCCATAGTCGCCACAAGTTTAGAATTTTTTTCCGAGAACCCGATCAAATTCAAATTGATTGCCTTACGCGTTGTGTTTTGAAGGCACAGGGTTGAGGAAATTAATATATACCCAATTGTCTTTGTAGGTATCCGTCTGAAGGAGCATGTGAAGGAGGCTCTGATACGAGCAGGTGTAACTGAGCATGATTTGGGAGAGAAGATGTACAGTCATCTGATAGCAGCTATAGAAGTGACAACACACTTAAAAACTATTATTGGGCTTTCAAGCGATGGTCCAACTTTTGCCAGGACAGCAGTTTTCCAGATATACCAGCGGAGCTAATCCACGTAGCAGTTTACTTGACTAAGCTTCTGGAGCGTCATCACCGCAGCAGTTTACGCCATCAAATGGGCATACGACATGAACGGCATAGCAGATCCCACAGCCAACTCCTTTGTCCGAAATCTTCAAGAATCTGCCAAGCCCACAACAGGTCACAAGGTGGTCAAGAAAGATACAGTTACAACTGAAATGTTAATTGAGTTAGGTGATAAGCATGTAGATTCCCAAGATCTCATTGAAG